CTCAGGTGGTCCACCTGCCTCAGCCTCCCAAAGTTCTGTAACCTGTCCCACAGTTACAGGTGTGAGTCACAGTGCCCGACCTTTTTGCTCTCTTGATAGTATCATTTGATGCACAAAAGTTTTAAATTTGTATCAAGTCCAATGTATTATTTTCTTTTGTTGCCTGTGCTTTTGGTTCATATCCAAGGAATCAACACCAAATGCAATGTCCAAAGATTTCCTCCTATGTTCTCTGTTCCTCTCCTATATCAAATCCATGAATACAGGATGTCTTTCTATTGAAGTCTTAAAAATTTCTTCAGCAATGTTTTGTAGTTTTCAATGTACGAGGTTTTTTTTTTTCTTTTTTTGCCTCCTTGGTTAAATTTTGAGTAGTTTTACAGTTTTTACTACTATGCTTAGGTCTTTAATCCATTTTAATTTTTGTACATGGTAGATGGTAAATGATCAACTTCATTCTTTTGCATGTCAATATTCAATTTTCCCACTACTAATTGTTGAAAAGACTGTCCATGCCACGTGATCTCAGGACCCTTGTCAGAAACCATCTGACCATATATGCTAGAGTTTATTTCCGGTCTCTTTATTTTTGTTTATTTATTTATTTTTGAGACAGGGTCTCGTTCAGTTGCCCAGGCTGGAGTGCAGTGGCTTGATCTCAGCTCACTGCAACCTCTGCCTCCCAGGTTCAAGGGATTCTCCTACCTCAGCCTCGCCAGTAGCTGGAATTACAGGCTCCCGCTCCCACGCCTGGCTATTTTTTGTATTTCTAGTGGAGACGGGATTTCACCATGTTGGCCAGGCTGGTCTCAAACTCCTGATCCGTCTGCCTCTACTTCTCAAAGTGCTGGGATTACAGGCGTGAGCCACTGCACCTGGCCCCCTATTTCTGGTCTCTTTATACTGCTTTGATTACTGTAGCTTTGTAATATGTTGTGAAATCAAGAAATGTGAGTCCTCCAGTTTTGTTCTTTTTCAAGATTGTTTTGGCTATTTGGGATCCTTTAAGATTCCACATGACTTTTAGGATGAGTCTTTCTTTCTTTTTTTTTCTTAAATAGAAACAGAGTGTCGCTAGGTTTTCCAGGCTGGACTTGAACTCCTGGCTTAAATGATCCTCCTGCCTCAGCCTCCCAAGGAGCTGGGACTACAAGTTCACACCACCATTCCCAGCTGGATGTTTCTATTTCTGCAAAGACTATTGTTGGGATTGTGATACGAGATTGCTTTAAATCTGTAGATTGCTTTGGTAAATATCGTTACCTTCTCAATATTAAGTCTTCCAATCCATGAAGACAGGATATCTTTCCATTTAAGTCTTAAAATTTCTTCTGCAATGTTTTGCAGTTTTCAATGTAGAATTTTTTTTTTGCTTCCTTGGTTAAATTTATTCCTATTTTATTCTTTGTGATGCCACTGTAATGAAATTGTTTCCTTATTTTTCTTTTTGGATTTTTCATCTTTAGGATATAGAAATACAACTTGTTTTGGTGTTGATTCTGTGTCCTGCAACTTTGCTGTAAAAATATTTTTATTTACTCAATATTTATTTAAAATGAATGAATCCACACATTGATGCGCATTTATGTAAGTTAGAGATACATTTTGCAGTCATGGCATTAACATCTGCCACAACTTCTAAACAAATAAATATATACATTTTTATATCTACAGAAGGAAGCCAAATGTGGGAAAAATATTTACTTCTATTCTTTAATCATTCTCATTTTCCTTTGTCTTCTCAACTTTTGTCAATTGTTGACCAACCTTCTGCACCCCTTCCTTGAAACACATGTCTCCCTTGGCTTTGGTGGCATTGCACTGCCCAATTTTTCTCCTATTTATCTGATTACTTTTTTTTTGGTGTCCACTGGCTCATTCTTCTCCCACTTCCAATTCCCTGCTCTTTGAATGTACTCTAACATTATGTGCTCAGTCCTCTGTTTTCTTCTCTTTTTCTTTTGCCTTCTTTAGATTATTCTCTTCCCAAAACTTTACCTATTTCTATTTGAATGACTCCCCTTAACAAGTATACAATAGGCAATGAGCATATGAAGAGCTGCAGAATCGCTACACTAATGAAAGACATACGTATTAAAATAAGACAATTTTACAACCATCAGATTTACTAAAATCAGAAAGTCAGGTGACACAGGTCTACAGTTGCATATATGAAACTCTGAAGATATTTCAAAATACAGAATGTCTCATATTTTATTTATTTATTTTTTCTTTTTTTTTGAGATGGAGTCTCGCTCTGCCGCCCAGGCTGGAGTGCAGTGGCCGGATCTCAGCTCACTGCAAGCTCCGCCTCCCGGGTTTATGCCATTCTCCTGCCTCAGCCTCCCGAGTAGCTGGGACTACAGGCGCCGCCACCTCGCCCGGCTAGTTTTCTGTATTTTTTAGTAGAGACGTGGTTTCACCGTGTCAGCCAGGATGGTCTCGATCTCCTGACCTTGTGATCCACCCGTCTCGGCCTCCCAAAGTGCTGGGATTACAGGCTTGGGCCACCGCGCCCGGCCGTCTCATATTTTAAAAAAGTAAAAAGGCACAGATACTGTATATGGCATAGGGAATAGTATCCTGTAACCATGTATATTAACATTTCTATAATAAAATGTATAAATAGTCATATTTAATAGGATAAAGACTGTAAGTAGCCTCATCTTAGCTCAGGTAAGATTTTACAGCCAAATGAATTTGATGTAAATTTATATTTTAAAAAACCTGTGGTTTTAAGAGTTTTTGGATTTTAGAACTGGGCTAGCTAGTGTCAACAAAGAATGAGAAAAGGGAAAAGAAGCTTTACATACTGCTGATGAGAATGTGAATTACTGTAACTATTCTGGATAATAATCTGGGAGTACTTCATGAAGTTAAATAATTATATGTCCCATGACCTAGTAATTCCAGCCCTAGGCATAAACTCTAGAAAAGGTTTGTACAAATGGTAGAGGAGTTGGAAGTAACCTAAGTGTTTGCAAGTAAAATGTGAAGAATATGTACATCATCAGAAGCAAGAAATCTGGTGTTCATATAGATTTTGAAAAGCAGAATAAGATCTGTATTAACATGCCACTTTATAAATTAAAATCACAAATATACACAAACAACATATAATATTCAAGGATACATTAATATTCAAAGACTTATATAAATATAATAGCATGGCTGCAATTAAATGGAATTGAGGATAAAGGGAAAAGTAATAAACTGAGAGGGGCTTTGCACAGACCAATCTGTATATACTGAGGAGTATTATTAATTCAGCTCTCTGCACCTGGGGCCCAGAGAGAAAGAAGAAAAAACATAATCACTTTTGTCTACCTAGGTATAAATATAAACCCATACATTCACATGTGCAATATCATAGATGATGGAACACATTCATTCCCCATTTATGCTCTACTCCTAAATACTTAATTGGGGTTGGCATATACCATAATTTTGGAGGTCTGAAGAGAAATCTAGCCATAAATTAACATTTAATTACAATTATTTTTATTACCACTTATGTTCTTTCATCTTCTTTATTCTACGTAAAGCTGCTGGAGACTATGACACCGTCATCATCTGGTTGTTAGGTAGAAAAGGAATACCCAGAAAAGCCATTTATCTTTTGGACAGAAGCCCAGTTTCCATTTTATCTTCTCACAGAGTATAAATATATAGCTTTATACTATTTTAAAATTCTTATCTCTGATTAGAAAATGTACACAGACTTATTTGCCCAAAGGAGTCTATTGGTAACTCCATTATTAAAGGAAATGCTATTTTATTTTTAGCATTTTGTAAATGCCAATGGTATACAATAATATTCAATATCTGAATCATTATACAACCATAAAAACTGAGAAGCCCCAGAACTACGTTCTTCCTCTACTCTTATCTCCATACCTAACTATAAGAAGAGCATTAGAACAGTGTCCCAAAGAGTAATCACAATAGTTTAATATTTTCTGGTTGTCAAAATGCATTAGTAGGAAATATTACTCTAGAAAGATCACTCAAAATCTTTAATATGATGAAAGATTTCCTGAGCTAGAAATATACTATATGATTTTCATAGCAAGAGGTGTTGAATCATAACAATACATATAAACAATGATGACCTATCTCCTGAACATAAATTAGTCTCCAACAGTCCACATCTGGCTCTGATGAAATGTTTACCTAGAGTCCACTGGAGATAATAAACTACATAATATCCCATCAGCATTGCCTTTATCAGAGTGGTTTTAGTTTCTGCTGCAAACTGTTAATTGGGTTGAAGATTATTTAGATATATTTCTAGGACTAAGTAGTCAACTAGGATCTTTGGTTAAAAAAAAAAAAAAGTATGAGAAAATTCACAAAGGAAAAACGAAATGGAAAATTTCTTTGCTTGAATACTTCTCTAAGTTTCGAGTTCTCTTTATGCCCAAGCTTGCCATAAAAATGTATTCGTATAAGGTTTCAAATCATAAACAAAGAAATACCATTTTTCTACTTTGCAGAAGGTAAAAAGACAGGGCTTACTGACAAGAAGGAAAACAAAATCTAAAGGGGCTCCCAAAACTAATTAAATAACTAATATATGGTTTGCACAAATAGACCCAGAACAACTCAAATCATAACTCTTTTGCCACTTAATCTAATCTTACCTTTCTTTCATAAAACTCTCGACTATACCAGTAAGGAATGAACTTTTTCTAAACTACTTCTGTTGGTAGACAGATGATGTACATGCATTTACAGGAAGAAGTGGACATAATTTTTTTTTTTAAATCCACTCCTTCTTATCAGGGAATATCCTGGTAAGGAGTGGTTAAGTAGGGAGGAATACTTTTCATTTTGTTTACCCTTAAGTTTCTCTCTCCAGTATCATTAAAAAGACCAGGAAAGTTTTACATATACATCTCAACAATTCAAAAGCAGAATTTTTGAAAACCGTAAGCTTGTGTAATTATTTTAAAAAGGAAAAAAAAGACACAAAATTATCAATATAAAAACCAACTCACCAATGATGCCACTATCTCTGCTTTCAAGGGTAGAGGTTGGACTAGTAACAGCCCCATAGCTGCAGTCCTTGGCAGTTGCATTTGTACTGATGGGTGGGAGTGTAGAGCAGGGGCTACTGGCTGGTGGAGAGGCAGTGCTGCTAGTCAGGGTGGAACAAGGACTTATCCGCTGGGTGATTGCTGAGGTCTGAAAAATCGGAATTATGAATAAGTAAGATAACCTGACCAGCTGTTAAAGTATATTTTAAGATAAAATAAGTGCTCTGATGAAAAAAAAAACCTACATGCATAGCTTTTACATTTATTAGGCTCTATTTGTTTTTGCTTTCTCGGATAGGGACTTTGGGGTTTACAAATTAATGTGAAACTCGATGAACCTAACATTAACAGAGACTGTTGCCAGTTTTTCTGCCTACGAAATTTCCAGTGACAAGTGCCCTATCATTGCCATTCATTAATAGAATAGAGAAATTTTTTATCAAGCACAAGTTTTCCCTGCTATTTGCAAGTTTTCCTTGCAATCAATAAACTTTTTGAAAGACCTGGAACTTTGCATTGTTAATCATTTTCTTTCTCTTTTTTTAATTTTTTTTTGAGACAGAGTTTCACTCTTGTTGCCCAGGCTGGAGTGCAATAGCGCAATCTCGGCTCACTGCAACCTCCGCCTCCCGGGTTCAAGTGATTCTCCTGCCTCAGCCCCCCAAGTAGCTGGGATTACAGGTATGTGCCATCACACCCGGCTAGTTTTGTATTTTTAGTAGAGATGGGGTTTCACCATGTTGGCCAGGCTGGTCTCAAACTCCTGACCTCAGGTGATCCACCCGCCTCGACCTCCCAAAGTGCTGGGATTATAGGTGTGAGCTACCGTACCCAGACAATAATTTTCTTTAGATGGAAGGGAAAAAATAATCTCTATAGCTGGAAAGAAAAAAAGTTCTTAATGCAAGGAAGTGTCTTTTTGATACACAGGAAGCTGTCCAGAGACAATACATGAATGCAGGGAAAAATGCCTTATTCTAAAAGTTTGTCTAATAAAACAGAGTATTAATTTAATACAAACCTAAATTACTTCTCTGTAACAGCATTATAGCCTGAGATCACTTTGTATCCTGAATGATTCTTACACTTGAAGTTATTTACTTTTTAAGTTTTGTTGTGAAGGAATAAATAGTTACTAAAAAGGTTGGTGATAATATATTCTGGTTTACCTAATTTAATGACAATTCACTTTTCTTCAACTCTTTCTACACAAATTATTACAATAGTGAATAAAACTATATTTTTTCAAACACTAAAAACACTTTATCTTTTTTTTTTTTTTTTAATTTGAGACAGAGTCTCACTCTGTCGCCCAGGCTGGAGTGCAATGGCACAGTCTCAGCTCACTGCAACCTCCGCCACTCAGGTTCAAGTGATTCTCCTGCCTCAGCCTTCCGAGTAGCAGGGATTACAGGCACCAAATACTGCGCCTGGCTAATTTTTGTAGTTTTGGTAGAGATGGGGTTTCACTATCTTGGCCAAGCTGGTCTTGAACTCCTGATCTTTTGTTCTACCCACCTCGGCCTCCCAAAGTGCTGGGATTACAGGCATGAGCCACTGTGCCCAGCCAACATTTTATCCTTTTTAAAATTATTAACTGATCAGCAGCAAAATTACTTGAAGACGCATTAATGATAAATTTAACATTTTTAAATGTTAAATTTAAAAGAAACCTTTCTTTCAACTTCTTTACAAATAGAGTCTCTATTCATACTCTTTCTGCTAGAATTTAATAAATGGAGAATATGTTGATAACTAGCTATGAGAATATTAAGGCTCTTCAACTCATCCTGAGACGATTTCCAGATGCAGTCCCTTGTATTTAATCATCTGTGTTGAATCTAGGCTTTGATTTTAATTTAAATACTATAACCAGGTTACAAAAGATACATTAGACTCAATCAAGAACAAGTGACATTCTCATTACCCTCCAACCAAGTAAATCTTTTCAATCGTATCAATAATATTAGAATCTGATTTTTCTTAACAACACAGTAAGCTCTCAAATGTATCCAAATTTCTCTTCTACTATATGTTACCTCTCCAGAGAAGAGGAGAGTTTCAATTTTTTAAAATCTCTATTTTTATAATATTATGCTGGTCTACCAGAGCAATGATTTTATTTTATTTTTTTTAAACCTTAAAATCTTTTTTCCCTTACAGAGCAATGACTCCTAACTAGGCACACAGTAGTATCACTTGTGACATGTAAAAAACAAACATGCAAGCTCTCTCACAAAATTGACAGATACTGGGCCCCTACTCCAGACTTACTGAATTGGAATCCTTCAGGTTAGAAATGTGGCAAACAATTTTTAACCTCCCACTCCCATTCTGAGACACATGTGGGTAGATGAACTGAACTGTACTCAGGTCTTTTACATTAGATATAGCTATAGTCATCCCATACTTGAAAAGTTTTAGGCCCAGCATGGTGGCCTATGTCTGTAATCCCAGCACTTTGGGAGGCTGGAGGAAGGTGGATTGCTTGAGGCCAGCAGTTTGAGACCAGCCTGGCCAACATGGCAAAATGCCATCTCTATTAAAAATACAAAAATTAGCTGGGTGTGGTGGTGCATGCCTGTACTCCCAGCAACTCAGGAGGCTGAGGCATGAGAATCACTTGGACCCAGGAGGTGGAGGTTGCAGTGAGCCAAGATCGTGCCACTACACTCCCGCCTGGGCAACAGAGTGAGACTCTGTCTCCAAAAAAAAAGAAGAAGAAAAGTTTTATTATGGTATGAATCTATTACTTTTATAACAACTCATTTCTGTTCTTAGACAAGATTCTCATTCTGTTCTTTGTGAAAGAAAATCTTATTATATGCATAATATTGACAACGTGGAGGTTAAGCCCAAACGACACTTACTTATTTTTACTCTAAGTTATTTTCTGCACATATCACAGAATGTATACTTTAAAAGCTTTAACTGTAAAAGCAAAGCTTAAATATCAAGCCATTTAGAAAACAGAAAATTGTTTATGGCTTACGACTTAAAAGGCAGGCCTTATGTTTATTTAAGGAGACTAGTTAATGAGCTAGAGAAAGACAACATTTATTCTCCATGCTGTAGGCTAAAATGGACATCTATTTAAGCCACTGCACTTCCTAAACCTTTGGGTGTTTTTCCCATTGCCCTTAATGTCCTCCAGAAGAATCCTAAGAAAGCTCCTAATCTGGATCTCTTAAAGGTCCTACAAATGCACAAGGTAAGTAGCTAAAGAGGAAATTAATAAGGTCCATTTGAATACCTTGGAAACTACTGAAAGAAGAAAGGGGTCAGGTGAATATCACTTTCATGCTTTTGTTTTTCTGCAGAAAAATGATGCATGCTGACTTGCATTAGATTCTGTCATTACTATTTTGAGAATATCATCGCTACATGATCTTCCTAAGCACAGCAGTTTATCTTTGTTAATATACTGTTTAGCTCAGAAGAAAGTCACCAAATTAACATGACCTCCTACTTCTTAATAATCTTCTTGAGACCAGAAATTCCAGGGATCAATTCAGTCACTTTCTTGTGTGGTTCCAAGATAGTTCCAGCGTATATTACACTGCAAGAAGGCTATCATTTAGCTTCACTATTAATATTTTACATTTGTATAAAGCTTAACAATTTAAAAATATTTTTATATGTTATCTCATTTACTATTTATCAACGTGGTATGAGAGGCATAATGCATGTTATTTCCCCCACTTAAGAAATGTGAAAATGAAACCAATGAAAGTATGAAAGCTATGATGTAATTTCCCCCAGATCACACAGTTGCTGCATATATTTATATACTAATTATATTGCATATTATTTTATACTTTTTATTTATATGGCATTTTACAACTTACAAAGGATTTTCATATTCATGATTTAACTTGATCCTTTCAACAACCCTGTCAGGTGTTATTATTTCATATTACACTGGAACAGTATGGTGTGGTTGTTAAGAGCACAGCTTATAAAAGCAGACTGCCTGGATATGAATACCATTCCATCACTTTCTGGCAGTGTGTTTCCATCCCTTATTTGAAAATTGGAATATGAATGAACTCCACCACACTGGGTTGTGAAGAAGCTTTAACGAAATAGTGCAAGTAAAAAATTAGTACAATAATTGGTACACAGTGGGTATTTAATAAATGTCAGTATTATTACCTATGAAAAATATAAAGCCCAGAGACGTTAAGTGACATGTCCAAATTTACAAAACGGTAGGTGGCAGAGTTGGAACTAGAACACAAATTTTCTCCCTTCTGGTTCAATGGCTTTTCTATCATACCATATTGCTTTAATTATATTAAATCAATGATACTGCTCATTTACTTAAGATTGTTATTCAGTAATGTTCAAGTAAGGCGTACTCCATAGACTTGTGACTTTACACAGAAGTCACTGTGACATGCAAAATCTCAAGAGCAACAAGTACACATTTTATAATCCAAGGAAATGTAGCTGTGTAGAAATGACAGGGTCCTTGAAAAATATTCAGGTTATAAGATATAAGACATCAAGTTACCTGGTCATTATTAGAAAAGTCACATTTTAACTTGACATGAATATCAAGAAATGAGAGGTGAAATAGACGTTTCATTGATCCCAATTTTTAAAAATCCCTCAACAAGATCATTCCCATTTTTTATTCACAGGGCACAGCATACTGACATAGTTACAATGTAAATTGATTTAAAAAATCATCAGCTCTGACATCATGACACATACATTCTTGTTATGAGGTAAAACAACCCTGCAACTAAACATGTAATGTAATATCAGTTAATGGTAAAAGCTATGAAAAATTAAAGTAGGAGGATAAGGGGATATAGGGATGGGCAGGTACAATTATTAGAAGAGGAATTAAGACCTCTCTGAGGACGTAAAATTTAGGCAGAACCCTGAATAAGTGAGGAAGTGAGTTGTGGGGGAAGAACATTCAAGTACAAATGAATATAGTTGATGTGTCTGGCAAATGACAAGGAAGCCAATGTGGCTGGAGAGCCGTGCATAAAAGGGAGAGGGGTAGGAGGTGATGTAGGAGAGGTAGCAAGTGGCTAGATCAGGTGCAGCCTTCCAGGCCATAGTAAAGATTTTAGATTTTATTCTAAGTATGATGGGAATACAGGAGATTACAAGCAAAGTGACAGAATCGGATTCACATTTTACAAGGATCACTCTGGTTACTGTGTGAACACACTACAGGGGAGCAAGAGTGGAAGCAGAGACCTATTAGGAGGCCCATTTATTCATATAATAAATACCTACTGAGCACCTAGTAAAGACAATAATGTTCTAGGGGCAGAGGATATGGCAATGGGTAGAACAGGCAAAAATTCCAGCCTTCCAGTCTTACATTCTAGTACCTATTGAAGTAGCACAGGCAAAAGATGACAGTGGCTGGGACTTGGGTATAGCAGTGGGAATAGTGAGAAGGGATCAGATTGAGTACTTATTTTGAAGCCGGGGTCTATGATTTGCTGAAAGAGTGAATGTGGGTCTGATGGAAGTCAAATGGCTCCAATGCTTTTGTCCTAAGCAAGTAGGTGATACCATTTATTCATATGGGAAACACTGCAGAAGGAACAGGTTCTAGGGAGAAATCTGACATGTTAAGTTTGAGATACATTTTAAACATTAGTTAGAAAATATAATGTGGGAAGCTACATGTACAAATTTCAAGTAAAGGGGAAAAGGCAGGGCTAGAGATAATCAGGGAGTTAAGATAGTATTTAAATAATGTGCAGCTAGCAAAACCAATAACCTAGGAGTGAGACTTGAGGAGAGCGCCCTGGAACATCTGAAATTATCCACATGATATATAAATATATTCAAATAATCCTTGTATATCTCATTGTAATGAAAGTAATATGTGATATAGAATCTTCACTTTTATTAATATGCAATTTAAAATTAATTTGTCATCTCCTGAATAAAACGCTTCACTATCATTCACACTGAAGATTAAGATCATATAAATGAATCTGACTCTAGTACTTTCTTTTGCTACATTTAAACTGAAAGACATGAAAATAGCAAAAAGAAAGAAAACTACAAAATATTTTTTAAATTGCTGATTTTTTTAACTTTCTGAGATGGATACTTAGAAAATCCCCAAATATGTAGACATTGAGTAATATACTTCTAAATAGCCTTTGAGTCCAAGAGGAAATCACAAAAAAATTAGAAAACATTTAAAATTGAAATGATAAAAACTAAGTATAACAAAACTTGCAGGATATAGCTAAAGATGTGCTTAAAAAGAAATATTAGTTTTAAATATGTATTTTAGAAAAGTAGAAAATCTAGGCCGGGCGCGGTGGCTCAAGCCTGTAATCCCAGCACTTTGGGAGGCCGAGACGGGCAGATCACGAGGTCAGGAGATCAAGACCACCCTGGCTAACATGGTGAAATCCCGTCTCTACTAAAAATACAAAAAAAAGTTAGCCAGGCGAGGTGGCGGGCGCCTGTAATCCCAGCTACTCAGGAGGCTGAGGCAGGAGAATGGCGTGAATCCGGGAGGCAGAGTTTGCAGTGAGCTGAGATTCGGCCACTGCACTCCAGCCTGGGCGACAGAGTGAGACTTCGTCTCAAAAAAAAAAAAAAAAAAGAGAAAATCTAAACTAATGATCCAAGTAATCTTTTAGATACCACTTTCTAAATTATCATTTTGTAACTGATAAATTCAACTGTGGTTCCGGTAATTGGAATCTCTGGAAATTTGTTGAGACCTGCTCTACGGCTTAGCATATCATCAATTTGGTAAATAATCCACATGCACTTGAAAAGAATGTATACTCTGCAAATTTGGGGTGCAGTGCTTATATACACGTCAATTTTATTTGTTGGCTTGCTCATTCATTCATTCATTAAATCAATCAAAACCTAAAAGTGGCTTTTTCGATTGTAACTCTAAGACTAAAGCTAAAAGATTATTCATAAACCGAAGAAATAACAGTGATTATGGAAAATTAAATTGTATTCTAGGCCTCAAAAGGCTTTCAACAATTGAGATTATTTCTGACATAATAAGCTGATTCATACTGTGTTTCTCAAAGGTGATAGCAAATGGCTTACCTGATTTTCATCCTGCACTTCCATGCTGTATTGGTCACCTGGCTGAACTTCTGTGACTTTCTCTCCAAGGAGGAAACCCAGACGAGTCATGAGTGTGTTTGCTGCCTCATCTACAGATGGAGGGGGGCCAAGCTCCTGTTCAGCATCACCTGTAACAAGAAGGCATTGAAGAACATGAATCTTTCAAAATAAAATGGTCTAGTTCTGCAACTATTCATACATTCACTTTGGTCATTTCTTTAGTTTTCACATTTTAACTCAAAAATGACAAGGTTATGAGGTTTTTCTTGGACTACTCACTCTCAATATAAATTTGTTTCCAAGTACAAAATTTACACGAATCAAATAAAAATGAGCCAGGGAACTCAAAATGATTAAAAATGTGAGGCAAAAAAAAAATTTTCCTAAAATGAATATCTGTTTATGTTGACTTACTGTCCATATTTATTCAGGTTTTGTTCTAAATTCAGAGCATTTAATCTCACCTTGTAACAATCCACAGTAGCACAGATTTTAAAGGACATTACAAAAATCCTTTTATGGGGTCAGATATATCCGTTAGCATTACAAGCACTAACTGTAGTGTCATATGGTTTGATGCCAAAACACAACAGCATCACTACACACAATCACATCTTATTATTTAGGATATTCAGTATTACACAGTAAACCACTCCAAATGCCAAGAAGGTAAGATCTGCATTGTTATTATTCCATTTAACTTTATACTAACGTCTCTAATAAAGTCACAAGCTGGGGGTCAGAGATAGGGTATATGTGTATTTTTGTATATTAGTACTGAACTCAAGTGTTCCATCTGTGAAAAATCTCTATAAAACTCTCACTGAATGTATGTCAAGGTAGAAAAACAAGGCTCTATTTTTCCTCTCCTATTATCCTCCCAGAGGCAACATAAATATATTGCTCTGCCACAGAACAGAAATAAGAGAATCAGTAGGGTTATTTTTATATTATAAACATTTAGATACTTATTTTTTTTTCTCAAGAATAATTGGAAGCTTCTTATTCCTTGATAAAATGAAAAGGCAAAACTGGTCTCTTCAAATTAATGAATAACACTTTCCTCCCTCCTAAAGGTTAAACTAACTAATCTTTTGCAAATTTTTCTCATCATAGATTCCAGACCTCTAGATATTCTGGGGCTCTATTTCACTGTCTCCTACAAAGTTATTCAGATAATTAGTAAGTGTTTTCTACGTACATGGTTAACAACAGATATGCGAATTTATATATAACATGGAGATACAGTCACTGACTTTGAAAAGTTTATAATCTATATGGAAAATAAAATAAAAGAGTATATATTTATTTAGCATATACTTACATAATGCTTATGATGCACAAGTCACTAGTGTAAATACTTTACAAACGTTAGCTTACTTAACCTTCATAACTTTAGATTCCACTTTCTAAGGTACAAATTATTACCCTCATTTTACAGATGAGAAAATAGAGGCACAGATAAATTAAATTATTTGCTCAAAGTAACACAACCAGTAAATGGTAGAGCCAGGATTAGAACTTGAGCTCCCTGACTCCAGAATTTATGCTCCCAATGAGCACAACAGTGTCTTCCTCACTGGAAACAAATATTACAAATGGTGAGAATGTCTGAATAAGAGGTAACTTGTAATAATAGGCATATTGCTTATAGTATGTTAATCTCAATAATCCTAACAAAGCATGTTGTAAACACTAAGGTAATCAAATGGAGGTTCTTAAGAGACAGATAACTGCAACCCTTTCTACATTACTACTTCCAGTACTTCCAAGTACGAATGCAGAAAGAAGTTCAAGAATTCTTCTGTGGGTGGCTATATTACATACTGCTACCACACCAGGTCCTTTTCATCTGGTTTGACTGGTATTTTTTTACACCTTGCTAAATCTACTTTTTCTTTCCTATTTACTTACCTCATCTCAAAATATCATTTGAGGATGACATTAATATGATACTATCTGCTGTGCACTCTATAATGAAAGAAATCCGATACCAGGTTATGATACGAAAAAACTATCTTTGGCAATTACATTTGTTTTGAACTTTTCTTATTTGTTGATCTTGAGTAAAATTTTACACATGATGAAAAGGCCTAGTAGATGAATTAGTGAGAGCTTCTCAAATAACAGACAGGGACCTGTGAATCCCTCCACCTTAAGTCTTAGATTACCAACAGCTGCCTCTGTCTCCTCTTCCTTAAAGTATGCCAGGATTTTGGGTGGAAGAAAGTAGAAACAGTAGAGGCACCTCCTTTCTAGTTTCTAGATGACAGACTTCACTGTCAGTAACCTCTTCCCTAATCCATTTTCATTGACTATTTTAAAATAAATTAAAAATAGTTACTTCTAAAAACAAAAAAGGGTGGGGCAAGGCGTGGTGGCTTATGCTCTAAATCCCAGCACTTTGGGATGCTGAGGGAGGTTGATCACTTGAGCCCAGGAGTTCAAGACCAGCCTGGGCAACATGGCAAAACTCCATCTCTACAAAAATTACAAAAATTAGCTGGGTGTGGTGGCGCGTGCCTGTGGCCCCAGCTACTTAGGAGACTGAGGCAGGAGAATTGCTTGAACACAGGAGGCCAAGGGGGTAGTTAGCCGTGATCATGTCACTGCACTCCAGCCTGGGCAACACAGCAAGATCCTGTCTCAAAAATAAACAATAATTTTTTTTAAAAAAAGGTGGGAATATGTGAAATATATTTTGAAAGTGCTCTGTAGGACCAGATGAACAGCTTCTCACTTGTAGGGATTTATTAGGTTGGTGCAAAAGTAATTGAGGTTTTTGCCATTATGGCACCATTAAAGGTAATGGCAAAAACCACAACTACTTTTGCACCAACAGAATAGTGTATTCAAACACTGTATATTGAAACACGAAGTCAGGTCCTCCCCTCCAAACCATTTCATTTAAAATATGCTGAAAATGTCATGAGGTCATGCATTTTCATTTTTTCCTACTTAGTGTACGTTGATTCTGCATTCTTCCTTAAATACTACCATTTTTCTTCCCTTTTTTTCTCATTTCTATTTCCCACTTGCAAGTAACTGCTATGATAAAACCTCTCTGCCTGCAAAATGAAAACTTATCAGCAGAATAAAATCTGGCCAGTGGCATAAAGATAGACTTTTCTCCCCTCATTACAATTAATAATGGGGCCATCTGAAGATCACTAAAAGGGAGGATTTAATGGAAATAGTGGTAGCTTAAGAGCGAGAAATCAGTGCTTAATTATCAGGGTTATTGGGTTTGTAATTTTTAAGAATAGAGAAAGTGAGTTTAAAAAGTTTAAGAAAATTCTTTGACCTATTTTAAAGATTGTCTGGTCTTTGGAGGCAATGTGCGTTTTAGAATGAGTTTCATCCATATTGTGTATCAAGTCTTTTAGTTTTTTTTTTTTTTTTGCGGGGGAGGGTGCATTACGGTTTTCCATGTTCATGGTTTGGAAGATAATTTTGTTATGATATCAATATTCCCCAAATCAATCTACCAATTTAATGCAATCCTTATCAAAATTCCAGCTGCTTGCTTATTTGCTTCCTTTCCTTCTTCCCTTCTATTTTCAGAAATTGACCAGCTGATCACAAAAATTATATGGAAATATAAGGGGCCCAAAATTAAAAAAAAACCTTTAAAAAGAAGAACAGAGTTCGAAGACTCATATTTCCTATTTTCAAAATTTACTGCAATGCAACAGTAATCAAGGCAATATGGTACTGGCATCAGAATAGACCAAGGAAATTAAGAGTCCAGAAATATACTCTTTCATTATGGCCAATTGATTTTTTTTTCTTTTGTGGGACAAGGTCTCACTCTGTTGCCCAGACTGGAATTCAGTGGTGCAACCATGGCTCACTGCAGCCTCGACCTCCTGGGCTCAAGCAATCCTCCTGCCTCAGCCTCCTGAGTAGTTAGGATTACAGGTATGCACCACCATGTCTGGATAATTAAAAAAAATTTTTTTTTGTAGAGATGGTGTCTCATTATGTAAACTAGGCTGGTCTTGAACTCCTGGGCTTAAGCAATCCTCCCACTTCACCCTCCCAAAGTGCTAAAATTACAGGCATGAGTCACCATTCCTGCCTTGGTCAATTTTTAACAAGGATGCAATGACAATTCAATGGGAAAAAAATAATCTTTCCAACAAATGGTGTTGGGACAACTGCATAAACACAAAGGTATGAAGCTGGAGCCCTACTTCATATATCAAAATTAAGTAAAAATGAGTCGTGGACCTAAATGTGTAAGCTAAAACTATAAAACTCCTAAAAGAAAACATGGTAGTAAACTTCGTGACCTTTGGTTAGGAATGGTTTCTTAGATATGAAACTAAAAGCATAAGTGACAAAAAGAAAAACAGATAAATCAGACTTCATCAATATTAAAAAGTGTCATGCTTCAACGGATACCATCGAGAGTGCAAAGACAACCCACTGAATGGGAGAAAATATATGTGAATCATGTGTTCAAGGGACTTGAACCCAGACTATATAAAGAACTCCTACTACTCAACCATAAAAAGGCAAATAAATGAATTAAAACATAGGTGAAATATCGGAATAGACATTTCACCAATGAGGGTATACAAATGGTCAATAAGTACATGAAAGGATGTTTGACATAATTAATTATTAAGGGAAATGCAAATCAAAACCACAAGGAGATATCAAGTTATACCCACTAGGATGGTTAAAACAAAAAAGACAAGCAATAACAAACAGTGAAATTTATTGGAACCTTCATACAATAATGGTAGCAATGTAAAATTGTGCAGACATTTTGAAAATAGTTTGGCAGTTCCTCAAGATGTTAAACATAGAGTTACCATGTGACTCAGCAAATCTACTCCTAGGCATATACCCAAAAGAATTGAAAACACACATCAACTTGTACATGAATGGTCATAGTACTGTTATTCATAACAGTCAAAAATAGAACCCCACTGTCCCTCAAATGATGAATGGATAAATAAAATGTCATATATTCCCATTAGGGAACATTTGGCCATGAAAAAAAAGAAATAATGATACATGCCATAATATGAAAGAACACTCACTGAAAGTATTGTGCTAAGAAAATCAGACACAAAAGACCACATATTGTACGATTCTAATCATATGAAATGTCTGG